TCTGGATTTATTTCACTAAATTGTGTGTCCCCATCACTTTGAACCCTTCCATTGAACTTTTTGAACCATACAAATTTGTTACGTATTAGCCAAAAGGAACACAGACAACACACTGAGCATTCTACCCTCGTTCTTCTTGCAACTTTTAGAGGTGTATTTAATCAATTTTTAGTGAACAGTGTCAACAGTTTCTGAGGAAGACTGTGCAGAAGAACAGCCCCTGTGTATTTCTAGGAATAAAACTTGCACACACGGGATTTTCGTTATAGAGTTATTGGAAGTTTGCAAAAATGTGTATTCTTCTTTTGGCAGTTACTCTTTCTTCATCTTTACTTGTTACACAATAAAATATTTGTAACCTAAAATTCAAAATCGGGTTCTGGAATTTTTTTGAAAATTACGTGTAATGAGACAAGTGGAATGCAGCAACATCCTTTTCTCTCCACAGTCTGACTTCTGAGAGACCGCATATCCCTTTAAAAATTTTGTTTGTCCTGAGAAAAATCCATTTCCAAGTATCTGCATTCCTGTAAATTTTTCATGTGTTTCCAAATAAACTTGAGCATATTTACATTATTTTATTGTTTGGGATACACACAGTTTTCTAAAATAAAGCAAAATCCATAGTAAATATCAGTAGTTTCATTGATATGTGATGATATTCTACAATAACCGCAAAAGCTATTGCTAAAATGATGCTTTAATTGGAAACAACCTTTAGGTGCCTAGATGTCGTACTGCTTGACGGAAGCAACAGGGCTGAGATGTTGTCAGGCTGCCCAAATATAGCCACGTCGTAAATATTTTTAACAAAACAGAAAAAACACTTAATGTCTTGGACTACTGATCTAATTATATATTGATGCTGAAGTTTATCGTTGAGTTATACGTTTGTAGACGTGATGTGATGTCAGATTCAAAAGCCCGGCTTGGTGAACTGACTTTAATAAACCCACAAAAATGGTGCCACGCATACAGACAGGGCAATGAATGAACAATAAAACATTTGTAAAAAGTGTGGTAGTTTTCAGGAATACCTATATTTTGGATAGTTGAACCATCTATCCCAGTAAAGAGTCACTCGCGTTCTTCAGTAGCTAAGCTAAGGACTAAAAGACTGACATTCATACTTTGACGCGGTCATCTAGCAATTCTTCCAGGTGGGTATTTCTTGAAACTCAGATGTCGGCGTGGGTTGGGCTCCGCACTTCTTTCTACTCTTCAGTATTATTTAACAAATTTTCGCTGCTTCGAAAATCACATGCACGTGCCAGAATGGTTGTAAGAAAGACCGCACCCATAACAATGACTAATGAATGCACAAGTAAGTTCGTGTAACTTTGCGCCATGAAACAGTTTTCAGGATATTGTCATGACGGAACAATCTGCGAACTAGCACTACTTACAGAATCTAAGGCGGGAACATTATAACGGTGCAGTAAGATGAAACCCATAGACCTCTACAAAAAATTGGCAAAAGAATTTCAAGTTTTACGTCCCACAACTGGGTATTAAAATACCTCACCTGCAAACAACCTAAACCAGGATTAAGCGTTACTCTTTTACTGAAAGCTACGGATAGCAGTTTGAACCCAACAGGTCAGAAGCCTGCCACATAGATGAGCGGGCAATTTCCCCTGTAAGAAGACTTTCCATTGTTTTATTTCAAATAAAATCCAGCAATTTATTTTTCAGTCAGAGCAATTGACATCCTTTATGCTACCTTGTTTTCTCTGTCAGTTTTCTACAATTCCTTGGGGTGTCAGCAACAAGTAGTCAAAATTAAATGAAAACTTAATCCATTTTTGGTACTACACAGGACTCAAGTGAATCTATGGGCAAAGCTAGCCTAAAGATTTCAATGTTCAAGTTATTAAATGTAATGGCAATATAGATAACCTCAGGTAACCCGTAAGGAGTCTATCAGTACTTTGAACTCAAGAAGATGACTTCTCCCGGTCAGTTAGTCGGAATCATTGGTAACTTTCCTGCTTAAATGGATATTTTCAGCTGATTTAAAAAAATTCCAGTTATACTTCATTAAAGTAGCCGAACCGTTAGTTCATGTGTCATCATCAAATCAACGGATTCAACTCATGTAACCTTGGCCGAATTTTCATTGCTTACTCGCGGTAATATATGAATAAGTTTTTTTCAGGTAGCAGACGAACCATGAAGAGCAGCTGAATACTTTTGCTTGTATATTCAGAATGCATCATCTAAAAAACTCAAACTTTTCAGCCACTGTTGTAAGAATCCTATTCAAAAGAAGTAGCCTATCGCAAACGCTTCCGTCAGAAAACTGGAAAATTTATTTTTAGACACGGTGCTGCTTTTGTTGTTGCTGCCCAATCACTTATTCGTAGTGAGCACCAACAAACGTACTAAGCTGACCCAGCCCTGGTACCAAACGTTCTGGATGGGCCTGGTAAACCAGTTGCATTACCCACATGTATGACCAACCAGTTGTACCCCAAGAGTGTTTTGTTAAACCCAATGGAGTTGAAGGTTTGCGCGTACCACTTTGTGAAATGCAGTTCGGCAGAAGAGTATGTTACAATACTTTGTCTATTATAAGCCGAAATCGTCCCGTTTTCTTATCCAGCACGAATTTGCCAATGGCTTGGCTAAAAATTAGTGGTAAAAATCACATGATCTGATACTTGTCTAGTGGCAGAGATCATTCAGAATCCAGAACGTTAGCGAGCGTCATTAGAAAAGGTATTTACAACCAACACCATACATTTACTCATTGATGACGGCTGGACAGATGATAGAGGGTCTTTTAGGTCCTACTCAAGCGGTTGTCTGTGTCACTTACTTTAACAGTATAAGGGGTGATTTGTTTAAGTAAATGAATTCAAGCTTTGTATGTGCCTGTCTAAAATGCTGCAAAATCTAGGGTTCACAGTGATTATGTTCATGGCCATAAAAACAAAGGCGGTGAACGTCTCAATAAAAATTTTGGCAAGTGAAGCAGTCAGTGTGAACGCTTTCCGCATGGCTAGGTATGAATGAAGGCTGAAACATATTCACAGTAAATAATCCTGAGAGATGATAGGGCATAATTGGGCTGTATCTAGTCATCTGTGACATTTTTAAGTGGAAAGTTTGACAGACTCCAATGTACTTTCACGCCCTGTGCGCAATTTAAAATTGATACTCAAGTATTATACTTTGAGCTGTCTAGCTTCACTTTTTACTGACTCTTGTGCAGGTTATATCACGTATGGGCATTTTTGCGTACTGAACTTTTGTTTCTTAGAGCCTCGTGCAATCAAAAGACCAGTTAGCTGTATGTATAAGGTGATATCTTAGATGGTGTTGTAAGTTTTACCTGTAGAGCTTGACCCAAAAAGATAAAGCAGAAGAGCATGTAAATTTAAATCTTCTTAGTGACGATACGATATAGGATTACGTATTTTTTAAAATTTTATAGTTCTTAGTACCTTTTCTTGTTTCCGCAGAAACAACCAATGCAGCATACAAACTTTAAAGCACCTGAACAGATTACATTTGATCCTTGTGTTACGAGAAATTGAGAGGATATACGGTCTCCTTATAGGGTTACCAACACTAATTACAGAGATTAAATCCGTCGATCTTTTAGAAAATTAACCAAACCACAGTTTCGTCATCCTAAAATTTATTGCATCAAGTCTCGTTATCACCCTAAATTCTATGTTTTAGTCTGTTAAATTGATGTAGGTCCCTAAGGATTTTGGAGGTATACAATACTGTATACAATACAATACTGTCATGTGCACAGTTCAAAACATCGCAACGTTCTAGGTTATCCTGGGTTAAGATTTCCAAAATATGTTTTTAAACCACGAAGATAAGTAAAATCCAACACAATGCATGACATTTACTACTTTTATTTTCGACTGTACCGTATTTACCACAGTTTTTACGTTTAAAATTTCGTGCGACAGGAATTTTTCCTTCGCGAAACACTGAGGGTCTGTGCAGTTATTTTAACTTACTTTTCCGCAAACTGGTAATGTCTCTTAGATTACTGACGATATCTTTGTAAACCGGATACCAAGAGTGGCGAAAAAAGCTGTCACCATTTGTTCACAAACTAATTATCGTTCCCTCCTCTTGGACTTCATGGCCACTATTCATTACCGTTTGAGTTATTTATACTTCGAAAAACTTTCCCAAGTACTATGAGCTCTATATAGTAGTCAAAAGCGTGGTCTTACAAAGAACCATTCGGGATACATCAACCACAAACTAAGCTACCCAAAGAGATGGTCAAACTCCCGTTAAGACCATTTCACTCCAGTCTAAAATTTTTACCATTTAAGAACCATCCGCACACTGCCAACGAAAGTCTCCAAACGTGGTCCACAGTGAATAGCTTGTATATTGTATTCTTGACTATGGTGCTCAGCTGGCAGGCGTATGTTCGATGCATACAATTTTGTCTTCAACTTCACCGAGATTTCTGAGCATGAATTTCGATTACAACTACGCAAACCTTTAATGCGATTCCTTGATAATTGACCCTTTAAAAGACGCTACGGTATTACGGCGCAAACAAGCCTTCTCCGTCGTCCACACCGAAGTAGATGGATAAATTTACATCCGGGCAGTCTATCTCTCGCAAAGCCAAGCCTGTTCAAATGGACTAGTCATCTGCACGTTGGATACATAATAATATATATTTCTGCATTCTTCGTAGATTTCTGACGCTGGTTTAGAGAAATCGATCCTTCTAACCGAAGGACACATGAAGCCTTTCACGTCGACCCTTGAAAGTGCTGTGCGGTCATACCTACTCAGATGGTCCACTTCCGTCAATAGCCGGTGCAGATTATTCATCACATATTCGTTCTCCGCGTTCAACCCCTGACTGTTGTCCTAGGATCATTACCATTATGTTTTGTGTCGTTGCCGACTTGGGATGGTACCCTTATTACATCGCGCCTAGCACTACTGTGCTAATGTATCTTTAAAAATTGTAGTATATATAGTTAAATGACCAAACGTACCGTTTCTGGTGAATACGCTCCAGGACCTGGCTTTCTTCCAGCATCTCGGGGCAACTGGGTTCTTGCTGAGAGAGAATAAGCTGGTGGAGCTTCTTTGTAAACATTCATTGCAGTGATTTTGTAAGCGCCAGCCCCTGGAGTCTGTACACAAAATAAAGAATCGTTAGTCTGCCACTTACTTCGCATGACATAGACCGCTTTCTCCGTCCTGAAATAGAATAACTTGGTGCAGATGGTTTCTGGCTGCGAACTGTCCTGCCAAGCATTGGATCCACAGTGTATATATTCGGGCCTAATGATTCGTAGGCTTGTGTTTAAAAAGCTTACCCGGAATGTCGTCAAACCGCAGACCCTTGTGTCTTGAACTCAGCGAGTAAGCTGGATGTTTTGGGAACACCTGTGGATCGCATTTTTCAGGCACATATGCTCCTGGTCCTGGAGTCAATGATTTCTCAGCTTCTTTCTGTCTGCTTGAAAGAGAAAACTGGGGTGAAAATGCCTTCCCAGTGTTAAGTATTTTAGAATCAGGGTTATAACAAGGTCCAGGGCTGCTATCAACAGTTTCCTGTTTATGTTTTATCCCCAGGCTCCACTGAGGTTCACGAACGTGGGTCGAACGTGTATCATGGTCAGGGTAGCCCACTAATGGCGGGAGCTGGTAACATGGTCCGGGGCTATTATACATTGCAGCTACTGGGCCCCGAGGTTTCGTGTAATTGTACACCATTTTGGGTTATTTTTATGCGAGAGACGGGAGGTTTGGCGCGTGTAATCTGGCGGAAATTGATTTGCACTTTGATTAGTGACGTCCTTTGGTGTTATGGCAACCTCGAAGTTTTGTGCATTTTAACAAATTTCCGTGGGGGTGATGGCTTTTGTTAAAAGCTGTGAGAAGCGTCTCACGCATGTGCGGAAAACAGTGCCATATTTAAAATTTCAGACTGAATAACAACCATATAATAACAATAACAGCAATTATGGCGGAGCAACAAGGACAGTCTCCCCGTACAGTAAGAGTCCTCGAGCAAACACTCTTCCTCCTGCCCTTCATTTTTACTGCCGGAAACCATTTTATTCGCTTACATTCCTAAGTGCTCTCCATTTTTAAGTCATCCACGTAAATGCAACAGAACACAGCACTTTTGACAAACTGTTCCCAAACATAGCCAAGCTGTATTTGATGCCTAGCATGACATGTTGATTGGAAAGCGACAGAAATTCGTTAATATGCTTCGAATGGGTATCTTTTGTCCCTCCTTAAAAAAGGTACTTTCTTATCCACAATGTGCCCAAGAAACCTTATTATCATTGACGCTGTGACAATTATCATGAGCTCAAGTGTTCTACTGCACCGGAACATCACACCCATTTCCGCGACTGCATCATCGGTATATCACATGCTGTGTTGTCATCAGATATGGACCTTCTGCTCACTCAGTAGCACGAGCCTGTAGGTGAGGAAGACGTAGCCAAAATGGTTATCATCTACCCATCCGGTCTCGTGCGATTCATCACAAAGTCCCCTAAAATTTTGCCTCCGGTCACCCAACTACATCTTTTTACCGGGAATACAAACGAATTCAGGCTTTTCATGCCTCTTTGTGTCATTACGCTGTGGTCAACAACCGACTCCCTACGCAAAACTTTGAGGCGCTCGGGTTGTGCCCTTAATTCTTTCAAGCAACCCAAACCACAATACTAGAAAACATTGTGGGTCACCTGTCCGCTCAGTTCAGGATTTCGACCGAAACTTCCATCTAAGCAGTTAGTTTGGCAGCCAGTTGGCATATCAACTGAGAGTCGCAGCCGTTAACCTTAAGCATGTGGAGGCTACTAACAGTACGAAAACTCTGTAGCACTTTCTGGCTGAGAAGAGTTCGCCACGTACCTTGCATTTCAGTACTTTTCGAATCTCTGAGAGCAATAGTCTGCTCCCGGTTTTGGCAGAAACGTGGGTCCATATTCACCCCAACACACTTTTCTTTGGCGATACATTTCCCGGTTTCTTGTACTCTTTAGCTAGCCTGAAGGCATATCTGATGCCCTTACACACCAAAGCATCAAATTTTAACCTCGTTCCACCAAAATAAAGTAACCGGACAAGAATTTTTCCTCCGCACTACCGTTGGAGTCCTTCAGCCTCCAAAGAGTATACTTTGTTGCTGACACTTTATACTCTGCAAAGAGGAATGTGACGTGTGACATTCATCTTCCACTCACCGGAAAATCTTGTCATCAAATGGGTAAACCGGCTGAAGATATCATCTATCTGCGTTCAAAAACTAGTTTGTTTCAAGCCCGCCATAGTCTAAGGTCCACCTGTGGCGTCTCCACTGTGAAATTCACGTTAGATTACCGGTGGAGATGCGGCGGGACATGGCTAACTTGTGCACGCTGCTCTGTCGTTTGTCTGTTCTCCAAACTGCGCAGTTGGGTTGCACTCAAACCCTCAAGCTCGACAAGGAAACAACCAAGTTAAATGTCTATTGCACCTGAATTACAGGAATACTGGTATCCATCAAGTCTGATCGTCGCTCCTTTTACACAGGGTCATCTCTGTGTTTATGGTCAAGTTTAACACAGTTCTCCTTTATATTCATTTGCGTCCAGGTCTATTTTGTGCTTGAGTAAATGGTAGGTCCACTTTGTTCAGAAAACACCTGTGCTCTTGCTTGTTTGGCGTTTTTGTTTAGACCGTTGTTTGCAGATGCTGGTAGCGGCATGTGACTTTCCCAGCCTCAGGACTATTACTTCCACCAAAATTGTCTTGTGCAGCGTTTCACAATGCTAAGGACGCCCATAATATGTTTTAGTGATCCGGGTCTCCGTATGCAATTTAGTTTACACGCAATCCTGGACGTTTGCGGGCATTACGTAGGCTCAAAATGTCACCATTCTAATTAGCTGGTTTGTGCATCACTCTCCTCTCTGGACTCGTACAAATAAGTGATATATTTAACTTCCGCGAACATTTTGTGTCGCTCCTATTCGTTCACTAACTGTTGCATGACGCTCAGTACGTGAAACATCAGCCGTACAAAACCTATTAGTCGTCAGCACGGCTCCAAGATAACCGTGGGAAGCTGAGAATTTAGCAAGATCAAGTTGCAAGCCAGTTTGATTGGAACCATCCATTTTTCATCAAAAGCTCACATACTGAAGTTCTGAATGGTAATCCTAACGAGGCAGAGGAAATCAACGTTATCTATCCCCATATATCACATTATCTCGGTCACTGGTCACTCGTTCTCCGTTCATGTTCAACTGCGACTGCACACCTTCCAGGTGTCCACGAAAGTGAGGGCATCTGTTTGTTCAGTGGCGCATTAAGTTAAACACCACACCGAACCTGGATCGAATGCAAACAACTATGCCTGATGGCTGGGCCACTTACGTAATCGAACACTACTCCGCATATGGTGCCTTCGCTGTCCTGCAACATCGGTGATAAACCTTCATTCATTCGGCGTTCTACCGAGCCAATTTCCAAAACTAAAAACAACAGCCTTGTGGTCATTCTAACGGAAACCATTGAAGTCAGATCTGCGGCTTACATGGAACTGTATGATCATTCATTTCAGTCATTTTTGCTGTGTGCAGTGCGGTTTTCAGCGTCGTTGTTTCTCTTTCGGGCCTATGACTCCCTCGTTGTTCCCACACCGATCCTTACGGGCGCACCCCAAAGCACTTCATTGGCATGGTGTAAACAGAAACACTTTTACATCCTTCTGGCTCTTGCTGGTAATTATTCAAAAGCTCAGAATCCCCACCAGACGGTCGCAGTTTTGTTGAAATGTTTTCTAGTTTGCTCGAGGTCTTAGTTGGGCGCGGCGTTCGTAGTTTCAACACATGCCACGGCTCAGCATAACGACCCCATAAAGACCGTACTAAATTTTGTGTAAGTTTGTTTCTTCGTCCATTTTTCCATTTATTGGGTTTGAAAATACTTGGTAAGTGTGCATGGACAATAGTCACGAATTTGTAAGCCCAAACTCCAAGCGAAGCAGCTATTCAAGACATGTGTGAGAAAAGCCTTCTATCGATGCGGCAGGTGTCCTGGAAAACAGGCGTGAAAAATCATTCGCATCTGACAGGTTAGGCAAATAATTTTATGGTAGTCAGCGCACGCCGTAATGGGTGAACGACAAGGGTCAATCCTCACCATTATAGTGACTGCTTGGTGGTGCCATACCGGAACTAGTTTGTTTAGGGGGGCAAACAATCACAATGGGGCGACCAGTGCCTCGAAGAGCTGGCACAAATTCAGCGGACTGTGAAGGCCTTGTGGGTGTTTGTAACACTCTCGGTCGGTTTGTAGTAGAAACCGGTGGGTTACGAGCAAGCCATCTGACTGGGTATGGCAGTCATCGCGAAGTCGCCTACAGTCCCATAAACGAGCATCTTGAGCAAGTCATTTGGAATTATTATGATAGTTGCAATGATGATCACGCCAGACAGTACGCCACCCACAAGTGAGGAATAAACATTATTATTATTGTTATTATATCATTGGCCATAGTTGCAATGATGATCACGCCAGACAGTACGCCACCCACAAGTGAGGAATAAACATTATTATTATTGTTATTATCATCATTGGCCAAAGAATCGTGTCAAATTAGGGCCAACATAGATTAAAGATATTCTTGAGCGCATGGTGGTCCTTTGACGCAATTAGACTGCTGCCCGAATTAGTAGAGAGCAAAAGTAAGAATTCCAACCACCTCAATGAGGCTATATCGCCTGATTCAAAAACGATGATGGATATTCTGGGGAAGATACTATGGAATCGCGGTTTGTGGTCGTAGCTAAACGGTGTGGCCATATGCGAATACAGGGAATGAGCGCCTGCCAATTTTTGCACTACCAAGTTGATGGTTAGTTATTTTACCACATAAGAACCTGGTAATTGTTGCGGACATGTTAATGGACGGTTCCAGGAATTGCAACTGAAGCGTCCGTTCCTTCGTAGCTACCCTGCTTTACCGTGTGGTTAGGTGGCAGACGTAGGGAGGAAGGTTTGGCATGTACTTGAACGTGCGAAGGCAAGGATCTGGGTGAGAAGGCCATCACACACTTTTTCGAATGGTGGTGGAAGGATGGTCTGGACTCACGACAAAAACGGAGTCTGTGGCTAAGCGTGGTATTAGGGGAACTTTGCGGGGAAGTATTAATTTTAAGGGAGATTGGTCAATCGTGGAGTCTGTAGCATCATCGGAGGCTGAGGATGTGGTTGGGTAGGACAGCACACAGGAAAATTTGGTGGACGTTTATGGATGGCCAGCAGTCGAAAATCGTCAACACAGAACAGATGTAACTAGGCAGGTAAGGCAAACTGGATGACTGAAGAGTGAGAAATCGGTGTCCACCGACAGAGAAGAAGACAAACAAGGGAGTTGTGGCAATCTGTTGCCTTGCGGTAGATGCATGTGCGTTGAAGGATATTTGTTTCAGGAGCAATGAAATGAAATGGACCTTGCAGTTCTCGGTTAGGTCATCATCGCCGTCATCCTAGACAGTTAGATGGCATCCGGTATGGTTGCCTTAGTCGCCTATGTAATGGGGGCAAAGATGAAAGACAATATATTGGCACAAGCGATGAGCTGAGCGAAGCCTACGCCCTTATGGCAGACGTGAAAAGATCACCAGATCGCCTGAAATGCCGGGGGGATTTCACATGTAAGATGTCTTTGGTTCAGAAGCTTTTTTAAGCTTTAACCAGATGCC